GCAAATTATTATCATCAATCATTTTACAGGTATCTCGTGAACAGGTGAACCTTGCATGTTTCTTAATTTAGTTACAACTAAAATCTAAATTGATTTCAAAACTAATTTAACATGTTATTGAATTCTCGTACGTCATGTTTGCCATGGAGTTAATGAATATCATGAACCAACTTAAACTTAGCTGTAATGTTTCGGTTGTATAAACTTGATCGCTCTTATAAGACCAATTTCTAGTAAGTGCTATAAGATTAAACGAACTCTGTTTATCTTTACTTTGGCAAATTAAGGAAGTCGAAGAATCGAGTCTAATAACAGACTTTCAATGAAAAGGACTCAAGATGTTGCGTAAGACCATCTTGATTAGATTATTTTGTCTCCACTGAAGGAATACGACTTTCTCTAATTTACAAATGGCTAATGGAGGAGAGGATGGCAACCGTGGAGATTATAGCAAAACCGGAGGGTTAGTGGAGACTAAGGTGGAGGAGGCAGCAGTGGGCTGTAAAGCGCTGTTGATGATGATGATGATAAAATGGAGGATTTGTCATACACTCTCAACGCTGACTAGGGTCAAGGAGGTTTGATGTCCCCTTATAGAGAGACCAAGCCTGTCGACAGATTTATGTCAGAAGAAACATGTCGACGACTTGACTACTGCTTACATGTCAAAAGCCAACGGCTTGTATCGGCGGGTTTAGTGTGTGGACTACATTAATCGGCTATTACGAAATCCATGAGAAAAGTGGGAGTAGTCATACTCTACACTGCCAGAACCACACAGTTATTATCCAAAAAATGTCCTAAGTTATTTTTAAAGGCCCACTTGGGAATACGTCTAATGTGATTAGATGAGATCTACGAAGATTTGCTGACAGTTTTCTAGCTTAGAAAACTAAGCAATCTAATCTAGTAATTTGACCCGTATTTGAATAAAATATAAGTTACCCAGGCTTTTGGTGTAAAATCCCATTTTATCTCAAAATTCTTAGCACGACACTAAAAAAATTCGCAAGCACAAATTGCGAACATAGCCCAGGTTTTGTAACATTTTTAAAGCTTGAGGCTGGACTAGAGCGTGTACTTTTTGTAGGACGCTATCAGCTCAACAGAGCAGCATCAAATATGAACGAAGCTCAATTTTGGAGCTGGCAAAATAAGGTCATTTCTCTAGCAACGATTCGACTGTGGGATGTCGTTCTACGACGGTACTGTTGCCAAAATTGGACAAATATTTGGGAAATTTCATATTTTTCGGATATCAAATTTTAGACGGAAAATTCAAAAGAAATAGGTAGGTAGATTTTGAATTAACGGAAATCACTCATTGCTGTAAAACTAGCTTTCCGATAAAGTCAGTTAAGATAATTTAAAACAAGTTTTATTTCTATTACAAAATATCACATTCTTGCAAAAAAAGGAAGTACTTCTTGCATATCCAACTTTTCAACATTAGTTCAGTAATTTTGGCGTAAAACGTTATACACAGAAGTATCTGTGCACTTACCTATCCTGGACTGTCACTTATCACTAGTAACGAAGCTTAACTGTGTTATCGAAACTCATTTTTTATTAATGTCAAAGTTTGTTGCTGACGCTCCCCCAAACAGTTTGCAGGAAGTACGTGAACAGTTTAGAGTTGGGCAGTAGTTCATCAGAGTCAGTTACAATGGATGTATAATTCACTGGTAAACTACCGTCTGTAGGAATACAATAGACTTACGCCCGTATTCACAAACATTGCTATGAGGTCTGACAATGCGCGTGGACGCACAGGATCACACACGAACCAATCAAAGAGCTCTATTCAACGCTGTGTTCGATTTTCTGCATCACTTAAGCTAGCATCGTTTGTGAATTACAATATTTTTCGATAATATCACTTTTTTTAATCGACAAAAATAGGTTTAAAGCACTTTTTTGAAGAACCTCCAAATTGAATGATTTCGGTAAGAATGGGACTTCACGCCATTTGATATAACAGAGCACTCTAACACAAAAATATACCTAAATCTATAAGTAGCAAATACTTATATCTATAACTAGAGCACTTTTTGCTAGTTCCATCGTGCTTGGCTTTGTTTTCCCATCCAACAGAGGGTCAGGTGGTTGGCAAACTTCCCCTATATTTCTACCCAAACTGACCCCTATTTCTATGAGGATAAGAACACCAAGCGTCTGTATTGAATGTGTATTACATTCTCCCTAAAAAGTTTGGATCGTTTATCGTGGGCATAATCATAAATCTGACGGCAAATTATTGGGAAGGGCCAACGAGTTAGGTTAGGGCAAATAGGCATAATAAGTCATGATTTACTTGAAAGAAAGTTGCTCTTTATTATTTCACTTTTTCTATTGTCGTAATAGAAAACAAAACAATGATTACATTTGTTTTTGGCATTTATTGGACGAAGTTATTCAATTAATTACGTAGCAGAGGTTTCACGAAACTGACGCCCGTATTCACAAACGAAGCTTGCTTGAGTGAAGCAGCAACGCTATGCGAAGTCGAACCTCCAGCGTTGAATAGAGCTCTGTAATTGGTTCGTTTGTGACACTCCGCCACTAAAATATTGTCTATGAATAGGCTTTTGGGATCCTGTGCGTCCACGCGCACTGTGAGAGCTCATAGTAATGTTTGCCTAAAAAGAATGATTGGTATAGCTATCAAGCCTTCAAAGCAATTAGCTACAAAAAGTAAGTAAGTAACCCTGTTAATGTCCTAGCCTACAGCCTCAACCCAACTATTAGGTAGGTAGACTAGATAATATTTCACGACGGGCCCAGGGCAGATTGGAGGAGTGGGTGTAAGGCAGGTAAGTGGCGAACCTTGTAATTAGATGATATTAAACCGCACTAAGGTTTAGCGACTTAAAAAAGTACTTTTTCCAAGTATGAAGATTCCTGTGACAAATACCACAAAATATTCGAAATTGTTACCCGTCTATTAACGATTGCTTAATTTGGGTAACTACCACCAAAGCGCTAGAGCACTGAAGCGACACCTATGTTTTAAGAAAGCCATGTTTCATCGTGTTACGCTTCTAATTCAATAACCTGCTTAAAACGAAGAGATTTTCACTCGAAAAATATTCCAACAAATGCGACCTAAAAGAGAAAAAATTGTTGAGACGTTCATGTATTATTAAAGTGAAATTTCAAAGGCCTGTAATGTACATCATCCTTTTATCAAGGGATTATGATCCGCATTTACTATGCATGAATGTCTGAAAGAATTATGTGGATAGAAGAAGAAGGGTTGAAACAAAAATGTTATTTAAATCACACTACGATTTACGACTTTATTATGGAATCCATGTAGAATACATTCAACGGAGTTATTTCATAAATCACGTTGTTCGCCGGCTGAGACAGAGCTGTCTTACAATATACGGATGGCATGATAATATTAAGCTACATTGTGGTCTTATCTAGTTCTAATAAGAAAGATTTTGCTACTGAAATGTTAGGTATTAACTGATGTGTCGGCGATTTACTTTTATTGTATGTTACGCGTTAGGTTCCTTAGATTTATAAGTCAAACATTTTGATTCTGAGTTTATAATCTTTTATCATTGAGAATTGAATAGATATTTAGGTACTTAGTTCAGTTGTACATCTCAGATTATGTTAACCGGGAGCGTCATAATGAAGATCGATTCACCAATATTATTTCCATCTATTTACCTAACCAATGTAAATGGTCGTCGCGTCTCGCATCTTATATTTATTTTCCTTTACATATTCTTTCTTCAGTCCGCTCTGTGTGAATTTCAGCCTGCTACGAAATCTTTAACGTGCGATATGCGATGAAAACCCTTAATTTTATACAAAAAACATAACATGAATTTTCATATCCTCTATTAGAAATTATGGAATCCATAAGACCTGTAACGACCATCGAGAATTTGAAACCGAGCCAGATGTGGCAAAGTTTAATGGATAAGTTATCTAATTACGCTAACTTTTAAAATATAAAATGTCTCACCCAAAAGGTTACTTAACAGCCCCTGTGAGATCACCTCACGGTTAGTATTACGTGAATACCCAACTTTAACTGACTTAATCTCAAATTAAGACCGTGCCAGCTTGCTTATCTGCGATGTTTCTTTTCTAATTTAAATATTCCGCAGTGCTTTCTGGGAATAACAAGGTCTCTATTTTTCCATCTTTTTGGCGTAACGTAGTGCCAAATCGTATCTCCCAGATTAGACTGGAAAATTTCGTCGTTGTATTTTTACTTAGTAAATAGATAAACGTAAGGCCGTGTGCAGATGTGCGATTATCGCTTCTCGCGTTTACACATGAGCGCGCCAAAAGACGCGCGGAAGCGTAGATTTTTTTTTATTTCCACACGAAGCGTAGGTAGTAAAAAGGTTTTATAATAAATACAATAAGTGCCTAGTTTTGGGCTGACACTGTGTAGGTTTGTTGTCGACACGAAAAAAAGAAGTGCCTAAACAAGCTAGAAACCTAGTTATTTTTTTATTTATGTAAGGATAATGTAAAGGAATAGAATAATACTTTGACGATAACTTAACAGCAACTAAGTAGATTCATTTCTTAGTTAAACATTATTGCGATGGATATTACATAGTTTTACTATGATGGTAACTGCATTGGAATGCAGCTGCTATTTCACGCTTGTCAGATGCATGTTTGAGCGCAAAGCGCGCTCGTATGGTAATCATTCTAGCATTTTATTAAGCGCTTCCGCAAAATTTTTGTCTCTAGGTTTTTTAGACAAAAATCATTAAGATTTATACAATTGTTTGTAATTTCTTTTGTAATAAAATAATTTCTTTTAATTGGCTCATGTAATTATTTATAGAACTACTTAAATTAAAAATATAAAGTCCTTGAAATCTCGTAGATTCTCGTAGATAACCCAATCTAAATAATTACGTTTGTTTGCAATTGCCACATAATTTCCTCTCCATTTCAATAAAAAAATACAACGGCTCGTAAGTATAAAAGAAACATTATTAAAGCATTTTACTTACCGCACAAAGTAATCAACGATAAAAGCTTCATTTTCACGCTTTCAAACGACTTCGGCATTATTACATAATATACCGTCCGGTTTCACGTACACTGCTGTTAATAATCTAATTGCAGTCACATCATAAACAAATTAATACCACACCGCCAACAGCGTCCAAAATACTCTAAAACAATTTCACTTATGAACATTTTACTTTTTTTAACACAAAAAGTACAAAATCCTCTTTGATGAAGCACGAAAAAGTTTTGAGTTCGCAATCAAATTTTGAATTTCGAACGTTTGATGTTTACAAGTCACCGAATACGATCGCATTCCATATTTGAATGGCGCGCGCGGGCGGAGCGTGCGACCCGTGTGGGTACCGTCCGCAGAATGTCCTTGGTTTTTCGCGCTAGGTTCACGTCATGCGCAGTGTGAACTCACCCTAAAGGGTCCTAAAGTGGATTAAGTTTTTAAACTTTGACAATTGATAAAATGAGATCCAGTTTGTTAAGAAGGAATCGTTAAGTGAAAAGTTAAGAATTCGCTCCCGGCTTCCTTCACATCAATAAATTACAGCAACTCGTACTTATTATTTTCCGTAAACGTACACAAAAGTCATTCAAACGTCTAATTAAAAGCCTTTGGTAATGTTTTAATTAACTTGCTAATCTTCCTCGCGTTATTCAATAAACAATTTGAGGAATTTATGATTAAGCATAAAAACATTAATCACCTTATTGCAATGTTTATTTTCTTTCTTTTATAACATTATTTTGTTTCTCATACATATTTATTTTTCTTTGCATGACATGAAACACTATATATTTTCACTATAATTTTACGTTAAGGAAAACCTTTCATTAGTTTTTATATTAAGTATGTTCTGATTTTGTCTTAATTATTTATTTATTTCGTTATTTCGAAACTTTCATCGATTTGTTCAATATTATACTTCGCACTCCTCCATTCTTGAGTAAATTCATTGCGGGTTCCAAAGACATTTAGTTATCCCCCGGGACTACTCAACCTTCACCGGCCAAGCTGTAGATCCTGGCTATACAGGAGTTGCAGTAGTAGGTAGTAGTAGTATAGTAGTAGGCTATAGTTTTCTATGTGACATGAATCTGTGAAAGACTTAGGCTAAGTTACACCATCTTACTTTAATTTTAACAAACGTCAAAAGCCTCCATACAAAAAACACCGGTTAGCGTTTTAGTTACGATCAAAGTTAGGTGGTGCAATTAGGCCTATACTCGTATAAGCCTCAATAAGTTTGCTCAAAATGGTGCCATATTTTTAAATACAAGTTTTGCTTTGTATTGTTTTTCCTTGACATAATACAAACATTTTTTCTTTCCTTTTGCCAAATGTGTTTGATGTGTTCCATTTTATTCGAATAGAAACTAATCTGGCAAAGTGTTGGGTTATCAAACTACAATATTTTTAAACGTAAAAAGAGCAAGCAAAAAGCACTATAAAAGTTATATCGGCTCCGCTGAGCCTTTCCTGAAGACAAACATGTATGAAGGCGTAAATATAATTTATTTACAATACGTCATTGTGGGTATAGCAAAAGAGTACAGTCAACTCACTGATAAGTACTATAATTAAAACTTAATATTCCAGTGGTAGTCTACTGAAAGTCGAATGAGAAGTGATGTTTGTAGGTAGACCATCGGTTGAACAGTTCATTATCATTACAATTATTATTCTTTGTCTAAATATCTATTTTTCTCCTCTTATTTTTACCCGACTGCGCCAAAAGGTTAGGTTATTATTAACTGTTTTCTCATGTTTACATCAAAAATTGTCCTCTCCCCCGTTGGTGTGGAATTTCATTTTCATGATAGGTTACGTATTAAAACTCTTTCAGTTTGTGAAACTGTAAAAAACAAAATATGACGGCCACCGTTTAGTCGTCATTCAAATTTTCCTTTACCCATTTGTCAATTTTTCGCAATGAGCGAGAGAGACTTGCTCACCCTACCGAAAGCGCCACACACGCTGGCAAAGAAACTTGCCCCGTTTTCATCACACAAAGCTTAGTTGTTGCTTTGTTTTTCTTTAATATACAAACTCCTCACGTGCTAGCTTATTTCAATATACTGTACCTCGAACCCGCCTCGTAAACTTTGCCTACTTTACACACCTATATGATGCCGAAATTTCATAGGTGTCAAATAACAAAAAGTTAGTACGCACTTTGACCTCCCTCCGAAGAAGAAAAACGATTTATTTTGTGAGGATGAGAAACTTTCTTAGAGGTTTATACCTATTCCGGTGCTCATAAAAATGTCATGTACGATTATTTTTTCACGCTTTTTGCCCCTTAGCAAATATGGTTCTTAAGGTGCCAATCGACCCGTGACTTTGACAGATGACTGAGCGACCCTTGTAGCTAAAAAGGTAAGTCGATCCAAAGGATATTTGTTTATTTTCATTTATTCAGACAAGTATAAATTAATGCCGCTTGGAATATTTACTACATACTGCAGTGGAATTCAAAATACTTCGATACATAAGTGTAGGCTATTAAACGTTCCAATTTTTATCGTGGATAAAATTGCTGATTAAATGTATTGTTTGCATAAACCAAAATGTTGTGATGAAAATTAATAATTGTTATAATATTTACTTCAAAATCTGGTCCTACTCTATTTTTACATGGATAATTATGCCCCATTTCTGATAAAGAATTTTCAGCCTTGTTATTTAATTTATTTGGGCTCAGCCGATTTAATTATAATGCAGACTTCCTTACCTAAATATTTGGTAGAGTTACCTAATGTCCGTTTTCACCCGCTACACACGCTATTACAGCTACATATTATGTATTTCAGGTAATTTTCAGCACCGTGACATCCACTTCATCGCTATGAATACTGATTACGTGCATTGATATGTACGTTCATTGAATAGCTGCGGTCACCAATCCAATTGAAACCACCATAAAGGGCTCCTAAGCCAAACAATTTACATCTCTCTCACTCGTGTGTGTCACAGTAAGTGATAGAGACAGATAGAGTCGAGCTATCGAATTCGATTGCAGGATTTTCTCGCTGGCTCGCACTCAAATTGCATTTATTGTTTTTTAACCGTATCGTATGAAAAGCGGAACGAGGGTAAATAGTCGTTTAGCCTTAAAAACACTGTCCTTTCAAATCCTTGGTCTCTTTCGAAATAGCAGATAGTGGAAGGCTATTTCATGTTCCGGAATGGACGTACAACTCACCGACGTAGGTTTAAAATGGCCGATTGGTTTTTACGAACATCTCTGCAGCTATTTGATAATCGTAATCGAAATTTTTTTGTCCACCGCAACATGGACGCTGTTATGAATACAACAAAATAAAGTATTTTTTATGACAGTGATTAATTGCCTTTCTAAGCAATATGAGAAATTCAATATACCTAATGCTCTGAAAACTCACATAAGCATTAGAAATAATAATTATTGATTTATTGTCGTAAAAACCAGATGGATGATGGATTTTCAAATTTGTACTAAAATTAAATATTATTTATCTGACATTTATACATAAGAAGTAACCTAAAATAAAAAGTTATCAAATCATTATTACGTTAAAAATATGGTGATAGTCCTCTTTGTACCAGAACCTGAGTAAAACAATACTGCTAAAAATAATTATTGTATAATGTTTTCAATAACCGTAAGTCTGTAAATCTCTAACAAACTTCTGACTTCACTCCGGTTAATAATATAAATGCGTTCTGAATACGTTATAGAGCTTTAGTTTCACGAAAATTACTAAGCTAGGGACTTTGTTTTGAAGTTAACATTCTATTCTTGAAGTTCTCTTGAATTATAGCAGATTACTGAAGCTTTTAGTTACTTATAGTTTCGTTTTAGTTTCTATACAGGGTGTTTTATACTAAATCAAACAAAGAGTATTGTTTATACTGCTCACATGCAGCAAATTTTGCATTGCATTTTTCAGTAGGACCGACATCCATTCTCTAATAAATAATTATCATCCCCGTACTAAACTCTCGTTAAAGAGACCCAAGTTAAAATATTGAAAAAAAAAAACACTCCATACTAATTTGCCATTAGCAATCGACTAAAATTAGCAATCTTGGGAAAAGTTGTTGCATATGAACAGTAGAATCAAATCTTTTTGTTTGCTTTAGATAAGTAGGTATAAAAATATCACACTGTATACATATTATAGCATTCCAAAGTTCTACCAACTATCGCTCACATTAACCAAGAAAGGACATCAAACGTAACATACAGCGGCATTTCTAACACACGTTAGAGACCCCAGACATAGTAATATATGTTAGCCGAGAGCAGGGACTAAACGTAACGACGTTGGTGCGTTGTTCGAGCCATTTATACCGGATTCTTCGCGAGTAAATCCGTAGTGGCGGAATAACATTAAGCATAGCTTTTGATCCTATCGCGGCCGTAAAGGATTCATGTCGAGAAGTGAACAACATCAATGAGATTTCACTTCGCATGCAAGTGAAGTAATTTTATCATTCGTTTGGGTACTTTTTTTACGAAACACCTTTTTATGTACCTACACATTCACCAACAAAATGTAGGTAAGCACTATCATAATACATTTCTGAATTGAACTTTAAAATCTATTTAAAAAGACATAAAAATTCCATCGGAATTGCAAAATTTTGTGGTTAGTTAATGTGAACCGTACCCACTAAAAGCCTCCCATATTTTTTTTACTTTCATGAAGCAATGACTTATTCATTTTTATTTCGACGAAACGAAAATGATTGTCCATTTCGGCAAAAAATATCACAATGATACCACAATCACAGATCCAATGACAAAAGTTCCCGAAATCAGACTAATTTCGCGTTCAGCTGTACGAAAAATGGTAACTTAATACAACATAATTACTATTACCGGGAAAACCCGAACAAAGTCTTTGTTAGCAATCCACAATTCCACATGTCAGTATACAAAGTTTGTTAGGTTGGCCAAACCTTGCCAAACTCCTTTGATCGCCAATGTTCGTTCGGAAGACGAAGCTAAGGCGATTTCGAAGTTTCGCCGACTTCTACTTATCGTGCTTAAATTACACACAGTTTATCTCGGAACAATAGCAAAACAAGTTGGAACTAGCTCTTTACCTATGCACTGGTTAAGTGGGCTAAGTCGAGGAATTCGAAATTTGAATAGATAAATGTTTGCTCGTTCAAAATGGAAGTGGGTTTCAAAAATAGGTTTTTAATAACGTTGTGGAAAATTCGGGGGTAGTAGTTATGTATCCATTATAATTAGAAAAGCCAGTTGATAACGTTTTGCTGGGAACAAAGTAGAGTGGAATTTATTTAAAAGTAAATATCCTCATTTTTCTTGTAAAAGGAATTTAAAT